TGATCCGAACCCAATGATGTTGAAATAGCAGCCGGGAGGAATGCTCTTCAAAAACAGAACTAGAGTCTCTTTAGCACTGTTAATGTATTGCCCAGACATGCTTCCACTGCGATCGACCACAAACACAAATTCACATGCTGCTTGAAGACTCTCAAACTTTGGAAAGAAGTCCAGCATAACGGCAGGACTGGATAGAAGGCTATTGCTCCCTCCACATGATTCCTCCACAGTAGCATGAGGAGTGTGTGGATCCTTTGATTGGATTAACAACACAAGATCCTTTACTAGATACTGATCCTTCAGATTAACGACCGTTGATCCTTCATTGATGGTAGTACTGATATTATGAGTAGGAGAGGTGACTGATGATACAGTGTCATTGTTTGACACTGTTAATGTAAACTGTGATATTGCTGGACCTGTTCCACTGCTACCACCAGTAGCAGGGATAGGAGCTAATGGGTCAGTAGAACCAGATGGTGTGTAACGAGGCTTCAAGACACTTGGTAATGAGAATCTAACCGACTCTCCTTCCAGTGGTAACTCTTCTACTAGCTTGAGTACTAAGACTGCTTCTCCTTTAGGTGGTAGGTTACCAAGAGAGAGGCTGAATATGTCTTGTGTCTTCTCTTCACCAATTGCAGCAGTCAGTCCAGATGCTATGGCATCATCGTAATTAGCCCGTGCTTCTTCTTTCTCTTGTACCTAATATCAATTAATATGTAAAATCCTAATAAACCAAGTCAGTAGTAGACATATAACCTTGTTCATAATAATTGTAATGATGCTAATGCTCAATTCAGTTCAGTTTTAATGGAGCATTTTGCTTTATAATATAATGCATCAAAGCAAGGTCAAATTTTGATTATGAAGTGATTAATGGTTAGTGGTCCATGCCTAATAGTTTTATGCAACATTGTCAAGACACAATGAATAGCTACAGTGTCTTTGCTTACCACTCCACGTATTGTCCTTCCAGCAATCTTTGCTTCCAGACCAACTACAGCTACACCCTCATCCACAGGGAAACGAAAAGACACTTCCAGCGGATCATCAGAGCCGTTACGATAAGTAAGAGTGGCCTCCAAACACGCTACATATCCTTTGATCTCTCCTGAGATTCCTACACTCTCCAGTGGGACGCTGCTCTTCTTCACTCGACCTTTAACCAACAGACCATAGTGATAGTCTGAAGAATATTGCTGGAAGAGTAGTAGACTGGGGGTGTGACAGTGACTCTGCTGTTAGGGTGGGGTCCAATAACTAATAATTATTGTGACTTATTTTCGCAGTAAAAGATGTCGAAGAAGTCCTCAGCGCCATTTGGTCTTCTTGTCCGTGGAAAAGACGTTAAGATTCCACTGGAGAGTGTAGGAATCTCAGGAGAGATCAAAGGATATGTAGCGTGTTTGGATACCACTCTTACTTATCGTAACGGCTCTGATGATCCTCTGGAAGTGTCTTTTCGTTTCCCTGTGGATGAGGGTGGGGCTGTAGTTGGTCTGGAAGCAAAGATTGCTGGAAGGACAATACGTGGAGTGGTAAGCCAAAGGATAATATCCTAACATTGTATTATCAATAACCTTGCTTAATATCATTACACGTATCATTATTATAGATGTAATCATAATATCTATGATCTAATAGTCACTTCATGACCCTTGATGCATTATGAAACAAAATGCTCATTACAATTAAAACTGAACAGAAAGTCCAGCATTAGTGTTATTGTATTTATTGTGAACTAAGTTACACCTACTACTGGCTTGGTTATGTTCATTATAATTAATTCCTAATATTAGGTACAAGAGAAAGAAGAAGCACGAGCTAATTACGATGATGCCATAGCATCTGGACTGACTGCTGCAATCGGTGAAGAGAAGACACAAGACATATTCAGCCTCTCTCTTGGCAACCTACCACCTAAAGGAGAAGCAGTCTTAGTACTCAAGCTAGTAGAAGAGTTACCACTGGAAGGAGAGTCAGTTAGATTCTCATTACCAAGTGTCTTGAAGCCTCGTTACACACCATCTGGTTCTACTGACCCATTAGCTCCTATCCCTGCTACTGGTGGTAGCAGTGGAACAGGTCCAGCAATATCACAGTTTACATTAACAGTGTCAAACAATGACACTGTATCATCAGTCACCTCTCCTACTCATAATATCAGTACTACCATCAATGAAGGATCAACGGTCGTTAATCTGAAGGATCAATATCTAGTAAAGGATCTTGTGTTGTTAATCCAATCAAAGGATCCACACACTCCTCATGCTACTGTGGAGGAATCATGTGGAGGAAGCAATAGCCTTCTATCCAGTCCTGCCGTTATGCTGGACTTCTTTCCAAAGTTTGAGAGTCTTCAAGCAGCATGTGAATTTGTGTTTGTGGTCGATCGCAGTGGAAGCATGTCTGGGCAATACATTAACAGTGCTAAAGAGACTCTAGTTCTGTTTTTGAAGAGCATTCCTCCCGGCTGCTATTTCAACATCATTGGGT